AATTATTCCAGCAAATGGCAGCAGTTGCTCAGACAGTTCAGTGTTATTACATTTTCTGCCAATTGATTTTAGGGGGTCTTTTTGTTTTTTTAAACAAAAAGCAGAAGGAATTTAAACAGTATCTTTCTTGCTAATTGTTCTGCTTTTTAGTTCTTAAATATATATTTTTCAGTTCATTTCTTTAGGTCTGTGAAGGCCAGATCTGCAAAAAAACAGAATAAAAACAATTATATTGGATAAAAAGATATCCAAATGGGATAATTCTAGCATCAACATACAATTTCAAGATACATTTACAGTGATATATTTCATTTTTTAATGGAATAAGGAGAACATGATCCCGCTATCAATATAACCAAGCCTATGTCACAGTATTCATTATGTAAAGTAAATGTTCCTGCTCAAATTTAGACAACATATTGTCAATTTGGCCCTTAAAATACTTCACAATTTTATATCTTATTAGTTGCTTATCCAGGGCTAGCTATGCACCTATGCACAATTTTTATATTAGGAGAACCTTGTACTTATGAATCATTTTGGTACAAGGAAATGAATTAAATGACAAAAGCTGAAACAGTTTGTTGAAAAGTGAACACAAGTGCCTCAAGAAAATAAAATTGTATTTAAGATGTTAAATAAATTACCATGTATTACCATTTATAACAGACACTTGTTAAAGGTTCTTAATTAAATCACTTTTAAACTGCTTCTCAGTTTTTAAATAATATACGCATAGTCCATTTATTCCATTGAATGTTATCTAAATAAGAATTAAGGTACACTTGAAAGAACAGTTCTCTTAAATGAGATCTTCTCAATGATCACAGGTCATTACGAGGTCATCTGATAAGTAAGAGACCAAAACCATTCTAGTAGCAGAGTTACTTTGTCATTGAAGAGATAAATCAATTTTTATTTCCTCCTCACTGTACAGTGGGTTTTACTTGATTGGCACATGTCAAGATAAGCAGCAGTGCTGGGGTGAAATCTGAGATTCATAGAGCAACTGTGAAAAGTAATGCAAGGTGATGGTGTTTAGATAATTGATAAGATAAACTCTGCTTTTCTTTAGGAGAATACACCATTTGGGAATAGTAAAAAAGTGATCAGTACAAAGAAGAAAGGTTTTGAGCACAGAAACAAGGTCGATGTTATTTAATCAGTATTTAAAGAAGACTGTTTTCACCTACTTTCCCCCTTACTTCTGTTTTCCTACATACAGTATTTTAGTCTACAAGACAATGACATTTCAAACTGCTGAATTTTTTCGTGGCTCATCCAATGGTGACAAAATAATTTTATTATTAAAATATTTTTAAATGCTTTACAGAATGTTTTAAATGGGTTGCTTTTTATTTTTATAGCAGCAAATACAGAAATAATTACAATTACCATAACATAATTTGACCTAAGAGAACAAATAGTACAGTACTGTTAACTTTAATAGGTATAAGAAGAAAGGAACTCATCTATTTTTTTTTCATGTCTTAATAAGATATTTGCTCCTTTTAACTCCTTTTAACTTTAAATCTTTTCTCCGCCATCATGTGGTTAAACAAGAAATAAACAAACTGTGAATTAAATTCTTTGTGACAGAAGCTATTCTTAATCGTATATTTTAATTTGAAATATTAAATTAAATGTCAAATTACAAAAAATGTTACAATAACTATTGAAGCTAAAGGTAGTACAATACCTTTAAAGCTGAAAAATTACAATTACAATAAAGATAATGTAGTTTGAGATAATTGTTTGCTTTTCACATTAATAGTTTATTAGATGTTTGTCATTTGTAAAATCAATAAATGACATAGGACTTGACATCATTATATTCTTATATATTTATAAAAGTACTGGTAAAACTCTTTAAAGTCATGTGATGCATACAAAACTAAAAATGACAAATGTACTGTTATACAACACTTAGGGATAGTTTGTGTGAGTAGTAACATAATAAATTTACTTTAAATCAACAGTCCTAGATCAATTACAAAATTAAAGTTAGACTTGAAATTTGAACACTACATTAAACCAAATGATTACTTGAAAATTAAATTTAAGTTTTGTTTAATGTAAACCCACTTAACACCTCTTGAAAATGTGAACTCAGGTGTACAATTACAAATTCAGTGGGGGCTACCTTCACAGCAAGCACCCTGTCTGGACTGATTTTGTACTGAGTCATTTTGTTTGAGTAATATTAACAGTGGTGGTTTGATGGGGTACAAGCAGACATTTGCTGGATGTTGAACTGTCCATGACCAATGATAACGTTCGTATTTTGGGTTAATGGTGGAGGATTGGAATATCCACTTAATAATACCCATTTAAGAAACAAGATGAAAACTTCAGTTACAGTCTGTCCTTTTGCAATTACCTGTATGCTTAACATCACTTATTGTGCAATAATGAGGTAGCTTGAAGTTGACTGCAACTAGACTAGTAAATGTATGAAAAGGTTAAGTATAAAATACTGTTAATGATATAAAACGAGGTATAAATGCATTAATAATAGCATAATTTTGCAATTGCACTGAAATTTTGCCTGACTTTTTATGTCAGTCACAAGTCAATCACTTCAGTCTAAAATGCCACTTTACCATATTCGCTTACATGTATATGGTATTAAATAAATAAATGTTGATTTTAAATCTACTGAACCACCCACACAACTCTTGGCCCGATTAATTAAAGACCACCTCCAGCACCCTGTCTTTACCAGCTGTGTTGTGGCTGGCTTGAATGCCTGTTTTGTGAGGTTGAGCACCTGGAGTGCCTGAAGTACGAAAAGGGCACGCAGGCAAGTATGACTGACTGCTTCAATTGCAGTCCATCAAGTCAAAATAAAGCCAAGTGAATTCTCTGCCTGAGGCGCTTCAGAGTTTAATAATCCACTCTCACCTGTGCTTCTGCTGCCTATATTCCCACATACAATAGTTCTCTACCATACAGAAACATGTATCTTTTATCTGACAGGTAAAGGAAAACAACTATCCTTGATGAATCTGTACAACAAGTTCAGTGGATTGATCAGGATTGTTCACTCTAAGCAAGATATAGTGTAACCTTTTCTAACTGTGTAATCCTTGTAGAATCAGAAGACCAACTGTTCAGTTCATATGCTGCCAGTTGTCTTTGTGTTGTGAAACAGAATGTAGCCTTTTACAGTTTAAAAATATTTTTAAAAACAAAGAAAACTGGGGGGATATTATTTAATCTAGAATGTACATACACTATATGCAGTATATCATCCCTCAACTATATTTTTGCCTTCTAAAACAACATTCATTTTAAGGTAAATAACAGTTGAGTACAGAGAGACCATTTCCTTTTCGAAATTTTCAGTTTGCTGGGTGTATTTATAAAAACATATGGTAATCTGCAAATGGTTGAGAAAAATACTATCATAAACATGATTAACACTACACTACATTAAGAATGCTGAGCCTCTAACAAATTATACTCTTGTCTGTGCCTTTAGACTGTAAAATGGCAGTTTTACATTAAAACGCAGCACTGACTGGCACATTAAGAAATGTTTCTAGATCCTGCTGTACAGTCCCTACAGCTATTAAACATTCAGAGGAGAGACTCAAAAGCAAAAGATGAGTGTGCTGCTTGATTTAAAAAGCTGTCTCCCCTGTGGTGTTCAGAGTGGTGCCTTTTCATATTTATCACAATACATATTGGATGGAAATTTTATAAATTAAATATGGCATCATTTTTTTTCTGTTCATTTTTCACTATGTTACTATGAAAAAGTATCAGGTAGAGCTAACATTTTATGAATACATTTGTTTAAAAAGGTTATGTCACAAACACTTTGCTCCATTTGCTTAGAATTTATTAAATTAATGTTTCAGCATGAAACACTGGTTTAATAAACTGAGTTAGTTGATGAATTTGCTCATTAAATGCTTGAATAAATTTAAATCAAGCTGTGCTTCAATTGATAAAACGTTTTATGATATGCTTGACAGCTTCCTGTGATATTTTGGACAGAAAGCAATGCCTTAAAAACAGAAAAGATAATACATCCATTTATCAAGAGAAAGGACATATACTATATATCCAGTGTTTTGAATAATGCTTTATATGATTTTCACTATTCGACATGAATATTAAAATAAGAACAGGTAAGTGGTTGAATCAGGCAGACATACAGTACTGATCTTCATCCATCAAGATAAGAAAAAAACAGCAATTTGCTGTAGATTAATGAAAGTGCCTTGTGTGGTGAAAGAGAACCAAAATTACATTTTTCAGGAATGTTGTACTTGTCATATTTATGCTAAATCAGAGAATATAATGAAAAAAAAAGTAGTTTTAAGAAAATGGAGGCATATTGCATTTTTCAATTATTGTTTCTTGAGCTTTTTGGTTGACCTTTCTTATTTGAATGTAATGTTTTAACAGATAACATACAGTATTATACATACAGTACCAATAAAACATTTGTGTTGTATATACAGTATGGACAATATATAATTTAGATAGCATGATACACCAACAATGTGCTTATAGATATCCTCAATAATAGATATATAATTTTAGAAAATTATTGTGAATATGTACAGGTAGGACCTTTAGGATATCTTCAGTGCACTAATAATCAACAAAATTATCACAAACATATACACTTATACACTTTCATCCACACATTGCTAAACATCTAATTTACAGTGAAATGTAATATTTTCTCATGAACTGGTAGAGAGCATTGCAGTGGGTGTGATGTTTACATTTCTGGTGTTGGTTATTTCCTCCGAAAGGGTGCCATTAAATGCTACATGCACCTCCTAATGAAAAACATGTAGGAGCAGATGGGATCTTTACATGCACTACAGGCATTTAAGTGGAAAGCAGCACAGAAATGGTGCCTTGACATCAAAATGACATACTGATATGCAACACATATTTATTTCTACATTCTTTCAGATGTAATTTTCAAATTGTACTTTTCTGTTGACATATGATATTCTTTATTTCTTTTTCAGAAATGTTGGAGTCCAACAACCTAATTACCTTTAATGGCCTGGCTAACAGCTCCAGTTATCACACTTTCCTGTTGGATGAGGAAAAGGGGAGACTATTGGTGGGAGCCAAGGACCATATATTTTCCTTTAATCTTGTCAACATTAACAAGGACTATTTAAAGGTAACCTTGATCGATTTAGGAATGACAGGCAAAGTGAAACGTGGAAAGGGGGAGTATTTGAATAGAATGTCATTTTCATTAAGCTTTTTCTTTCTTCATGAATTAATTAGGGGCTGAGATACCATGTGTGACATTTGTATTTTTAAGCCATACATGACTTTTGAGAAAAATATTGTATTACATGTTTCCAGTCTGTGATTAAATTGTCTAGTATATAGTATACTGTTTCTATTCAGTGTGGCATTGCAGCGCAGTAAATGCTACTGGCTCAAACTTGGGTTCTAAGTTTGTTTCCGTACTTGGCTGCCTTTTATGTGGAATCCATATGGTTGTGTGGGTTTTCACCAGCTCTGGATCCCTCCCACCTTCCAACGATAAGCAGGCTAGTATCTCTAAACTGTGTGTGCTTCTGCCAAGCAATGGATTGACTTTTCATCCTGTATGTAATTCCACCTTGTGCCTTTTGCTTCTGAGACCCTTACCAGAAGTAGTTGCACTAATGCTTGTATGTGGGCACCACGGTGGAATAGCTGTTACTATTGCACAGCTCTTGGGGCACATTCTGTGTAGACTTTCTGCTTTTGTTTGTGTGAGTTTGCTTCGCATCCTTTTGTTTCCTACCACTTTCCAAAGACAGGCTTGCTTGGTTACTTGGTTTATTTACCCTGTGTTAGGTATCCCTATCGGTATCCAACGTGTAGTCTCACCTTGCACTCAATAAATTTCTGGGATACATTTCAGGTTGCTGCAAACCTTACCTGAATGGTGTTCAGATAATATGACATCATAAACAAGCAGCTAATAGGTCTTGGTTTTACTTTATACAATACAGGGCCTTAGGGGAACTGGAGCCTATCCTGGCAAGCAACAAGAGCAAGACAGGTTACACACTGGATAGGATGCCAGTCACAGGGCAAATGCAGACAGAAACATACAAACTCTCAAATGAGCCATTTTTCCCATTACTTTAACATGCATAATCACAGACTAAGTGTCCACAGTAACATTTCCTATCGATATTTAATAATGAAGCTGGTCTGAAAATGCGGAGGAGGAAAATGTGGTAGGAAATTAAAGTACCCAGAGGAAACCCACACAAACAAGGGGAGAAAATAAAAACTCCACACTAATAGCACCCCAGGAAATGAGCCCAGGGCTCCAGCATTGCATGGCAGTAATTGCTAACTGCTGCACCACAGTGCCCTCCATATTTGTTTTATTCCAAATAAAATCAATAATAAATATTATGAAGATGAAATAATTACATATTACAAATTTCTGCTACAGCTAGCTTTGAAGAAAAACATTTTTTGCAGACTACTATACCATGCACAGTCAGGGACTGAGTGTCCACAGTAATGTATCCTATTAATTTTTAAAAGTTAAGTTGGCATGAAAATCTAAAGATGGACCACCCATGTATGATGTGGATCATACGCCTGGGTAATGAGCAATTAACTGTAGACAGAATACTAAAGAATACTGTATGTTTAATTTTAGTTTTTTTTCCATACTCCATTAGCTTTTTCTATTATGCTACCCTTAGTTTACTCTCAGACTCACTCCTCAGATGAGTCCCTCAATGATCTCCATTATATAATTACCTTTATCTTCATCATACTGTTTATTTGAACTCTAAATTGTTTTTAGATAGTTCTTTTAAGCCACTTAAAGATATATTTTATTTGTTAGACCTGTGATACAGCAGCAATAGCTTCAGAAGCTAGCGACTTTCAAATAAAACATGTCCAATGAATCAGTATAGTTATTGTATAGTATTAGTTTTCAAGGGGTTTAATCTGCTTAGAGAGATTAGTTTTGCTTAATCATTTCCTACCTTTAAAATAAGATAATTTGTTGATTAAATCCTGTGCTAGAGATGTCAAAATATTAATGGGGTTTCTCCTGTTCAATAATGTTTAGGAAGATCTTACTAACCAACAGCAGATTCAAACAAAGTTGGGGACGTAAAGGCAAAGTGATTCCCTAATACACAATGAAAAAGATGAAATTGCATCACAACAGGAAATAGAAATACAATAAACTTACTATATGATCCACTATAAATCTGTAATATAAAGAACTATTAAAAGCAACACAAAAAACATAAAGCCTCCCTACGTATGTCATATGTGTTGTAAAATATACTTATATAAAGTGATGTTTTTGGTTTCAGAATTTTTAAATGCTGAGATTTTTTCATTAAAATGTTCTATAAAGTTATGTATTATTTAGGCATAATAATTCAGTTTTAAATACCAAATATTCTTACTGCAGGTAAATAATAATCATAATCATAATAATAAAATGGAACAAGTAAAGGTTTATTCCATGCTGAAAACAGAAGAAAAGAAACACATTTCAGTTGAGAAGGCTTCTTTGTGTGTGCTGAATAATATTATAATACATTTTATTTATAATAATGACTGTGTTTTCATTCCAGGTGATAGTCATTCCAACAGGTACAGTACCATAGTACAGATGTGTTTATTATAGATTTGATTCTGATGATGCTCTTGAGCTGCTCTTCCAGTAGAAGCAAGATAAATAACAAATGTTGTACCACGGTATGAAAGCTGCAGAAATAATTTATCAACTCAATTATCAAAATGTCTTTGGGAGCACACTTTTCTTTGGAAATTTAAAGAGTTGACAACCAAAAATCTAACAAGGTTACCATAGGTTAGGTAAAGTAATTTCTTAGACTTGGTACCAGTTTTGGTATTTTTGGAATTTGTTGGTATCAGTTTTGGTAACCCCAGGATGCACTAGAATATTTAGTTATTCTGCTCATCCACCAACAAAAAAGTAATGATTTGTAACCATTCCAAAGGATTTAGTCATGGAATCTTGTTTTTTTTACCATTATGTTGTTCATACTGTATAATTAGAATATTTCAAAATATGTTTTGTATACTCTGAGTTTTCAGTGAATTCTGTCTGGATACATTTCAGAGTTGTACAGTTGCTTAAGTGGAAAAGCCCATATATAGACCATAGTTTTCTGTGGTGTCAGACTAAATCCAAATAAGGCAGCTCTTGTAATGTAATGTAATGTAATGTGTTTATGATACTTTATGTGGATGAACAGGTCTGTGTCTATAATTATAACAGTGTACATTTTTCTATGCAGACTGTTTTATACAGAATTGTTTTGGGTGGGCGACATTACTTACATTTCTTTACTTTTGTGGAATTTGCTAAAAATACATTAATAATCTTTAGGTACCTGAAATAGGTTTATAGATATCTTATCTGATAATGAGGTTAAAAAAAAAACACTGTAAAATGCTAGGCACAAATTCCTCAAGGCTGATGTCTGAAAAAATATCTTTGTGTCAAAATAAAGTCGATTTTGAAATGAAAAGGAAACATGATAATGTAATACTTGTGGGTTTTGCTTAACTGAATAAGTACTTGGGCTACTTTCAGATTCTGCAATGTTTTCTTTTACTCAAGTAAATTCTCAGTACATTTTAATATTAACTTAAGCAAAAAGGTATGAATGCCTTAATGTGTAAAATGTGCATATGAACATATTTGCTGAGAAAAGCACATATCTTGCTGTTGTTTTTTTCCAGGAAAGAAAAAGAAGTAGAAAAAAATGTTTTAGATACAAATCAACATAACTATCTGTTTTTTTTTATTTCCGATTTTAAATGTAGATGAACACAGGACAGAGTTTTTTGTGAAATAAGCATCAACAGTTAATTCAGCATTAAATGGCAGGATTTCTGATCTATTCAAATGTTGGTTAGATATTCTGTCACAATGAAAGTTATACTTATAAAAGTGGTTTTGCAAGCAAATTACTGTTACTGTTATTTATGGAATATGATTGTAATGTAAGAGATGTTAAAAACAATTACCCTTATGATAATTTTCTGGTCACTTTTAGATTGCATGGCCTGCTTCTCCCACAAGGAGAGATGAATGCAAGTGGGCAGGAAAAGATATTTTGGTAAGTAGATAGCACTAAATATCATTTAAATACATTGAAATTCCTTTTTGAATTGATGTTTCGACAATTAAAAATTAACCTAACTTTATTTCGGTGCAGGTGTTATTAATTTGGGGTTAACACAGGGTATCACTTCTAGTCTTCCAAATCTTGCAAGCATGATTGTTTTAAATATAAATGGATGAGTTTGCATTGGTTTGCATAATTTTAAATCTACTGCATTGTTACCTGTACCAGTCATTGATAATGGAAAGAGATGGCATTACATTCTCACATTCAATTTCTTCATAGATACCTTATTTCTCTGGAATAGAGGGATGTTTCTGGTCTAGTAAACTAGGAGAAGTTTAATTTAAATGTGTCAAACTCACATGGCTGCTTTCTAAAGTTCTAAGATATTCTTTTTATATATAACAAGCAGAACATGTCAAAATATACACTAGGCCAGTGGTTCTCAAACTGTGGTACGCGTACCGGCAGTGGTACGTGGAGTGCCGCCAAGTGGTACGCCAAATGACCCTGGAACTGTGTCGTGTGCACTGAAAAATCGGGACGGGTTTTCATATTTTGTATTTTAATACGTGTCGAATACACAGCATACGTACTACGATACAGTGCGCGCTAATACTTCAGTGGACACAAGAGATACTCTGTAATTCTATACCACTCTATAGGAATGCGTGCTACGGATGCAAGTGACCAATTGTATTTAAAAAAAGCTACTGTATCTCCAGCAAATAGGGAGAAAGGAGAATGTGCGTGATTTTTGAACAATGCCAACGTTCTAAACACATGAATGCATAGAAATACGTGCTACGAACACAGGTAATCTTGTGAGCACACGAAAGCGTGATAACAGAAAAATATTTAAGAACTGTTCTAATTTGAGAAAAATACACCTAGCGTCTCTGTGTTTCGCTCCCATGCGCATGAAATAAAAACTTTAAATAAATACGGAAATAAAAACGGAAACGCGGAAAAATGCAAGCTTGCGTTTTGCTAAAGCAGGTAAGCTACACTATTTTGGAAGAACCTTATTTACCGTTGGCAAAAGAGCTGACACGTATTATGTGTAGAGAAAAAGCTGCTAAACAGCTCGACCTGCTGCCCCCTCCCCCTGAAAGACACAGTCATTCATAGAATTGTTGAAATGAAGGATTATATCAAAAGTACACTGATAGAGCGCATTAAGATGAGCAGATGTTTTTTACTGCAATTAGATGAGTCTGTAGTCGATTTGGCCAATTTGCTCGTTTACGTTAGATACGAGTTTGAGGGCATGTCCCATGAAGACTTTCTGTTCTGTAAATCGCAACCAACAGGAACTACAGGAGAGCACATATTTCAGCTTCTGAATGAATTTATCGAAGAGAATGGCCTCGACTGGATACAATTTGTACAGACGGTGCTAGAGCAATGACAAGCCGACATAACGGTGTAGTTGCACTAATTAGAGAGGGTGCTCCAGAAATTAATGTATGCATTACAACATCCGATTGCGAGACCTTTGCAATCAAGAAAATGCCTGACGATTTAATATCTGTTAAACTGTTGTGAATTGTATATTGTATTTTATTAGTTGTTGTTAATGTTTTTTTTTTCTGTAAAACACTTTGAGAAGCCACCTTTAAAGGCACTATATCAAATAAAGTTTATTATTATAATATTTATTATATGTATGTGTGAGTGTGTGTGCACGCGCTCTCATGTTGGTCATTGAGAATTACTGGGGTTCCTATGAGATGATGACTTGTAGGTGGTACTTGGATGCTTTGGTTGGATTAGGAGTGGTACTTGGTCCAAAAAGTTTGAGAACCACTGCACTAGGCCAACAACAGTTCAGTCAGATTACCTGAAGATATCTATGACAATAATAATGCCTAAAATTGCATTTATTTGAACTGTCAATCTTAATTGAACCTACAAATATACAACAAATGGATTATAAAAAGACTTTTACTTTAAAAAATGTTCAACACACGCAAAAATGAGAACTTTATGTAAACAAGTTACTTAAAAAGATAGTTTTAAATAATCACTTAAATGACAGGAAAACTAAAACAAAATACAGGACAGTAGTATCTGATAAACTAGATTTTTGCATCCTATTTGCATTCTTAAAACTGTCACAGTTTTTTATCCAATTAAATGAAGCAGGAAATAAAACTAATTTTCCAATCATAATGTGGTCAACCAAAAATAACACTCTTTTATTTACTATTCACTTTATAGACTAAAAAAAACAACAACAATTCTTTTAATCATTAAAGTCTGAGATAATTAGTCTTCTTTATAACCATGGGGCTAACACTGATTCACGGTGTCAGTGTTCATGTGAAATTTTGTCAGTAATAATTAATAGCTTGTTATATTATCAAAAATATTATTAAGATACTGTCAAAGCTTTTTGTTTAACTGACATGTGATGGTGACATTAATATGTTAGAGAGAATAGGATTCTAAAAATTCTTACATCAAACTTTATCTGGGCCTAAGTGTATAATGGGACATTATATACTGTATACTGTATGTGATATGTTAGTACAAAACTTTACATCTCATATGTTCTCCTTTTTACCTTCCGAGAAAGAAAAATAATGAATGTTACCCTGGATGGTCAGAAATGTGTGCTTGTAAGATTGTATGTACAAAGACACATACAATCTGTAATTTCCAGATGTAGTGATGCCACAGCTCAGTAAAAGAAGGAGGGGGAATCTTTGGGAAATGTGTTAGCTTTGTTTGCACAAAGAGACCCACAAACATAATAGCTAGACTACCCAGTGCAGCAGCCTTGTATGTAAGTGATACAACTCACTTTGGTGCAGTTTTCACACCAAAATATGCAATAAACATTGTTCTCAGGACTCCCAACCCTGTTCCTCATTTGTCCAAGTTGGAGAATAAGGTTGTTAGTGTAACATTAATCCTTTCTTGTTTTATTGAAAATGTCACTGAACAGTGTTATGATGACAGCATTTTCAGACCGATTTTCCACCAAGACAATGGTGAACATACATAATTGCTTAATCTCTGAACATGATAATATGCAATATAGTACCTTGAAGTAAGAATCACTTAAGACTTTCTATTTAAATTGGGGATCACTCACATACTATAGATTGGGACATCGTATTTCATTAAATGTTTACCCAGTTTGTCATCTGTAAATTGAGTTAGATAGAAGGAATGTCAACTACCAACAAACAACTACCAACAAATAACACTGGCATTTTAACAGCTGTTTTAACAATTGAATGGAGGAGTGTGAATTGACTTGTGATGCTGTAGTATGTCCTAAACTCTCTATCAGTCTATAAGAGTCTTGTATGTGGGTTAATGGTGGACATACTGTACTAGATACTGATCACTCATACAGTCATACCACGTGCAGATTCTCTTAAACATGTTTACACGTGATACCATTATGTCTTTTTCACTTAACATCAATAAACACCACTTTCTCTCATCTTGCGTTTGTCTTGAATGAGAGCTTATTTGCTTAAATTGTTTCATTGTGGCATCTGAAAGGTCAGAGAGGCCCAAACAGCGTTATATCAATATGAGCATGGCTATACTGGTGTGTTTCATTTGTTTTCTAAACACACTGAAAGTACAAACATAAAAAAGTTAAAATGTTGATAGAATGTTGAGAGACATTCTATCTTTTGCTTTATGTATGGTACCATATTTAATTACAGAATTATAGAGAGTTAGAATACCATTTCAGATCATTCTATTAAGAAGAGTAAGCAATAGTTGTAAGAGGCAAAAAAAATAGTTTTTGGTTTTCCATTTGCAAAAATAAAAGTGAAAGTAAAAAAATACAGTACTTCAGCTTCCAATTACACTATTTTTCAAGCAAGCCATTTTCTAATTTCTCTTGTTATGTATGCTTTTACACAGATCACTTCTGGTCTTTTATCTAATCATAATTACACGGTTGCTAAAATACACATAGTGATGAAAACAGGGGTACTGCTAATGGGATACCTGCTAGAAACTCTTAAGTCTGTTTCTTAATTGTCATCTGTGGATGTGAATTTAAAAAAAAAACCTTAACAGGCAGATGGAGTTCTTCATTATACTGCATATACTATTAAATTTGTATCTTAAATAGCACAGCATTTTAAAATAGAATATTTGTTTTAAATAGAAACCACTATAGCAGAAAAGAGAATGATTGGCAAATCTTAAATTATATGCAGATCATATAATAATTTGCTCTTATGTTGTATTTTTTTAAAACACTAATTTTCCATTAAAACATGTTAATAATAAATACACTTTTACAGTTGCAGTGTGACTTAGTATGTACAATACTATGAAACGGATCCCGCAGTATTATAAATGGAACAATAGTAATCACAATAATTGAAGAAATTTAATTGTGAAATGATGCTGGAATACACCACTTAGTGTACTGCGAATTCTTAGTTTTAATTAATAGTTATTACATATTTAGTGTAAGTATCATCTAACTGAAGAATAGGAAAGACGTAGTAGACATTTTTGCTTTGTGCACTTAAAATTTGTTCTGCTATTTTAATAATTCAATGGATTTATCCAGCCTTTATTCACAAGATTAACTTGTAAAGCATGCAACTACTTTAGCAAAGACAATAACAGCAGAAGCTTATAGAAAATGATTCTCTTGTGTTTATAATGAAGGGGTAAATCTATAGAGGTAAAAGATTTTTCAGCTGTTTTTGGAATACACTTAACAATAGACCTTCCGGAACATCATGATCTAACACAGACTATGGAGAGTGAATTACTCATGACATAAGCAAATGTTTGTGCCAAGAGGATTAAACACGGATCATTGAGCCTGTCTGCTCTTTTTTGACCATTGGGCAGGCTTTAAAGACTGATGTTTTATTATTAAACAAGTTGAGCATATGATGAGGATTAATATATATGGTTTAAAAGACTTAAGTTAAGATAAACCTTACATAATCCCTGTCTTTTATTTTGTCTTTAATTTTCATTCCCTGAAG